TGTTATAATCTAACCTCTCTCTTTCTTAACTGAATATAATCTGTAATATTTTAATTTCAATTATATTGATTTTTATATATATATAGATACCAGTATTAATTTTTTTTGTTTCTTTTAGATTTGTTATGATTTTATAGACTATAAAACACTAACAATACTGATTTTCATAGTTAGGAACTTAACTTATTTCAAGACTGTTAACCAATGTCCATCATAGTTTCCTTATGTTTAAGTTGGTGAGATATACAAAGCAAAAGTACTATGCATTGAAAATAGTTTTTATCTAAATCTCTAACTTTAGATATCAAATGCGGCTCTTTTCAAACCTATTCAAAATTATTAGCATTATCTCTACAAATATTAAAGAATTAGTACACTTAAGTGATGACTATGAGAACATCACAATGTACTGAGTGTATGACTTGTGCAACTAATGAATGTTAAATAAATAAAAACAAATAATTTTCTTTTGATAAATTTAACATCTGCAAAACATCTCAAAAAAGTACCAATAAACAGAAAAGAGAATAAATATCTATGAAATTATTAGGGTCAGTAGTGTGCCAAAGAAAAGTAAGTCAGAGTGAAACTTAATTTTTCGAAAGAGAATGTACTCGTATGTATTCTGAAGAATGTTAACATAGTAACTGCAGAGCAGGTTCATTGAGGAAAATCAGCACAAAAGCAGTTAACGAAAGTATGTAACTCTGAAATGCATTTTCTTTTAACAGACCTCACAACATCGGCTTTCTTACTTCTCTGTAAAAATGGACAGCTGCTATGTTAGCGGAACGTCAAACTAAAATTTAAATAAGACACAAACTAACATTAAAATTTACATTATGTGAAGTGAACTTCACTTTACGTAAACAAAAAAAAAAAAAACTTGAACTTTTCTGTATGAGAATTTTTCATTCCACAGTCAATGAACTTTAACAAAACAGTTGTGTATTCCAGTAATAATAATAACAACAACAACAAACATAATTGTAATATTTAATAATAACAATACAAATGTTTCGAAATCCGTGCACAGGACAAACATGCAACTTTGTTCTGTCCTGCGTCTTTGCTTTAAGTATATAAAGACAAGTATTTATATAATTTATTACAATACTCTTACATAGAAATAATATATAAAAATCGTTATAAATACAATATCTAAGTAAAGAAAAATTATAAAAATTACATACGGTAATATAAACCGGTACCGTTAGAGAGCTTTCGCATGAAGAGTCTTTTCAATATTTACCTAAATGTATAGTGTCGAAAGAAAGCATTTATATAAAATAATTAAAATTATTATTACATATATAATTCATATGTTTTAGTAACTTTAAGTGTTTTTGTTGGGAAAAAGAGAATAAAACTTGGATCAGCAGGCCATTACTGGGACACCCTACACAATAGAATAAAAACTCTTATGCAGAAATTGTTTATATAGTGCTGATAAAGGAATAGTGCCATATCTAATGAGAGATTCTTGTTGGTTGGTTGTAATGGCAGACCATCAGTTAACTTTTTATATATCTCAATTAATAATTTTTCACCGTTTTGCTACTACATTCCACACAAGAACCCTTAAGAAAGAAGAATATAGACTAAATCCAATCCGTCGAATTAAGATAATTTAATAGGTATTTCACCTTTATCAATGAACAGTCTGATAAGCTATTAAAAAAATATCTTCCTAAAACCTATTTCTTCTGTACGCCAAAGCCGAGCAGGTTTCTAAAACTTCTGCAGTGAGGATTACAAGAAATGCGCAGTTTCTTTGCATGGGTTCCTATACACCAACGACCTGATAGAACTGTAGTAAGCCTTGCAGTGTTCACACAATCTCTTTTGATAAGTTCTTTAGATCTCGTTTTGTTATAGGTGCGTCATGTTAACCGGGAAGTTGCACATGACTGTAATATCTTTCATTTGTTATTGGCAAGCTGAAGAATATAGAAGCAAGTACTTTTCTTAATGGTCTCTAGGGTAACATAAAACAGTACCGCTAGAAACCCATCCAGGGAAGTACCATGAGCGGACTAAACTGTCAACTTTCTCGTTCTCTTCCATGTTTCTATGTTTAGATTCTTCTTAGTAATGTAAACTACGGATCATACAGTTGGTATTACCATATAACTTTCTAATTTTTCTCTTTTTCACTATATTACTCTACTATAAAAAATCTTTTATAATTTATAATCCCCCTAGGCACAAACCAAGCTAAGCCCAATGAAGTAAATAAAAAATAATTTTACAAAAGTTTTAGGTAAATGAATCTTTAATCTGAATAAAAACCGCTTTAATATTCAAAACCATTTAAATATAAAAATATATTATAACCTAGATACATATAGAATTTTCTCACTACAATGGTAAGCAAAAATTATGTTTCTGGTTTTTTTAATTTTAGCTCCAGAGCAAATGCTTTTCTAAACTATCTTGTAGTATAAAAAACTAGTTAGATATAATGGTTTCTTTAATGTATATATAACGTACGATAGATTTTATACTAAATATACCACAAATTAAATTTTAGTTATTCTATACTTTAATTTGATATCACTATTTTGCTATTTAAATGTTATTATTATTACTATTAGATTTATTTTAAAAAATATATCTTATATCTTACACTATAAGACTAACAAATGTGCCAAATGTTAAACTATACCAGTTGGACAATAAATCCGTGTGCGTTATTCAAAACACAATATACAATCTATATATACAATCTACAATATACAATCTATCTTTGCAGTACAAAGTGTAGTAAGAATATCTTATGTACACATTCCTATATCTAAGCTATCAAGCATTAAAATTAATGATACTTAATTATCTAAAAGCTTTGAATAAATCCTTTTTGAGATATTGCAGATTTTTTCACAGAAGATTTTTTGGTACAGACTTGTTTTTCTTACTTCGTATCTTTGTATATATTGAAAATGGATCAATCATATTTATTGTTTATATATTTTTTAAATTTGAATATATATTTTAATTCTATGTATAATAAAAATACAAAAAATACAAATTTTTTTAATATCAAATAATATATTTTTTATATTTTTTATATCAAATAATTGTAGAAAATGAGCTAATATCACTGAATATATATGATATAACATCAATTGCCGTTGGTAAGCAGGACCGCCACTCCAATTAAACCGAACCTATGATATGACAAAATTTCATATCTTCAGGACAGAATTTTTCGTTTTTCCTCTAGTTTATTTATACAAAATCAATTTCTTTTAAACAAATAACAATAATTGATTTTTAATAATCAATAGTGAAATTAATGGCTGCAATTAATGACGGAGTACTGGCTATTCAGACCTATTGGTATTAGTACAATTTGACCTCAGCAACTGAATATAAAACAATTATTAACTAAAAATTTTTTGTTGTTGTCTTTTCATTTCAATATTTTCAATATTAAAATTTATTGATTACAAAAGAAACATCCAATTTTATATTTCTGGAGACGTAAAGCTTAGTATAGCCCCATAATTTTGAGTTGCTTGGCAGAATCTATTTCCTTATTGAAGTTGAGGAGACGACTTTAAAAAAACCGAGGTAAAAATATTTGGGTAATTACCAAAAAAGTTTAAATATATCACATTATACCAATTAATTTCTTGAATTAATTTTCTTCTTAATTTTTGAATTCTAATATAATTAATCAGATATGTCAGGTGTATACTATAGTGTTTTGATCATTATATGCAGCACATTTAATTGGAGCCATTTAATAATTTTACATTTGATTTTGAAGTGTATCTCAACAGTTTTATTTTATTTTTATTTATTTAATTTTTTATATAAATTTAATTTTTATTAATTTTTATTACATTTAACTGTTTAATTACAACTATTTTATTTAATTTTACAACATTTATTATTGTCTTATTTGCTTTATCTAAGTGTATCCACAGGTATTTGATATAACATTTTTCCAATAATTCTTCTTTGTTCCAAAATCAATAGAACTTTTGAATGGAATTACTTTAACATTCTTCCAAAAAAATTTCGAATAGTCAGTTTTTTAATAGAATTGATTTAAATTTCTATCAAAAAACTTCAAGTAAAGACAATTCTATTTTAATATTCTAATTTGATGATATCAGAAACGTCTGACAATATTTTTTTTTGTTTTTCATTTCGGCCTCTTCTTTACTAATACATTACATTATAATTTAATCAATAAAAAAGCGATAATCAACATTTTTAAATTATTTAAACATTAACTCAACTCAACTTATGTATTTACAAAAACACTAAATTGATTTTTTTAATTTAAATATAGTTTTATTTTAATATAAATTTATAAATTTATTATATATATATATATTATATTTATATTAATCTATATTATAATATATATATTATATTATTATATTTATATTAAATTTAATATATTACATATTTCTAGGTAACCATGCTAGGAGACGAAATGAAGCTCTGTCCCTCACATATAAGGCGACGTTTTAACATTTTAAGGACTTTCTTTTTTGAAGACCTTGGCGAACTTCAGGACCGTCCTTTAAATAGCATCATAAGCTTTGTCAAAGGTTCTAGATGGTTTTAACCCTTATGTTTTTATAAATATGGTAGCACAATGGGTCTATACACCTAAGTGGATCCCCCTGGGATCGCCGGTATAACCTTACCTAACCTAATCTAACCTATATGCTTAAATATATTATATATATATATATAAATATATTTATATATTTAATTAAATTATTTTTAAAGAAAAATATTTTAGGTGGAACAAATCGATACATTTTTATCATTTATTTTTAAATATTTTTGTTTATCATTAAGAAAAAAAATTCTTAAAATTATTATCTATGCGAATTATAGGACAGAGTAAAGAATTTCAAAGCAAATAAAATCTGATAACATATCTAATAAAATTAAATAAATGTATTTTAAATAATTTTTTATTAAATTTTTAATTTAGTAAAAAAATAAATTTTAATAAGAATTTTACTTACTGGCTTTCGTTTGCTTCCGTGCAAAGAACTGCAAAATTTTTCCACTTGTTTGTTTAGCTTTCTTTCGTAAACAAATTATATTTGAAAAATCTTTACTTTACTCTTGACTATGAAATTCAAAACAATTAAATAAAGTATAAGCACTTTTAATCTACTTTTTTGACAACAAAAAACAGTCCTTTTCGGCCAAATCTATCTCGGATGAAGATACAAATTTCGAAACACAAAGACACAGTTTTTGATATTTTTTGATTTAATATTTTTTTTTTTGTTTTTACTACACTTGAGTTGTAATGAAAAGTCGCTTTAAATTTCGTTTGTTTTCGTTTCGTTTAATTAAAAAAAATATTAATTTTATATCTTTTATTATCTGTAAACAATATTCGTTTGTTTTGCTCTTTAAATTTGTATGCAATAAAAATGCGAATAAAAAACGAATAAAATATTCTCTTTAATAATTTACTATTGAAGTTTGAAGTTGACTTTAAAACAAATTTTAAATAAATTGGAAGCAAATCTCGTAAAGAACCATTCGACTGCGATAGCAAACTACAACTGTTTGCCAAAAGAAAATAATTCCGCTGGTCGCGCAATGTAAATTTCACATAAAAACTTTTTAACATTGCAAAGCTTTCCCACATAAGAAACAAGTTTCTAGCTGTTAATAACAGAGAACATGTTCTGTCCACAACATTAATTCTGTTGTACTGTTAAATTTTTGCTTTACGTTTACATATTTGTTATAGTATATTTTAATGTAATTAAATAAGCGTACATAATTTATAAAAAAAAAAAATTTATCTAATAAAATTAAATATTTGTCTGTCTATGCATTCGGCTGGCTGCGTGGGAATATATTTAACTTTTGTACTAATGTAAAGGCGTTTAATGAAGATATTGTTCCAATCAACCAAAAAATGCACGCTTAAAATTATGTGTTCTTAAGAACATTTGATGAATGTTGTTAGAAAAGTTCCTGGAATGTACATAATTGCGGATAGACTATGCCAGTGCAATTGAACTGCATTATTTCAACAATTATTATTGACGCAAAAGGGCTTAGAGACCTACTCTAAACACAGATAGAAACACAATAGACCCGACGGTTGCAGTACCACATCCACTAAGATCCCCTAATAAATAATTCCAACAATTTATTGCGTTCCTTTAATGGTATCTTCAAAACGAATTAGAGAAAGGTTTAAAATTTAGTTGCTTTAACACCTTTTTGGATTTATTGTTATAATTTCAATCGTTGTGCACTGGTAGAATGAAAAAATACTTGTTTTGTACTCAACAAAAGTCTCATTAATAAGCCAAATACTCAAAAATATAAAGAAAATATCTACATAATAGAATATTTTAGGATACTTTTGATTGGCAGGGATCTTATATGATCTTGAAATATGAAATAAAAATATATATTTTAAAATGCACATTGTATTATTATTATTATTATATAAATTTGTAATGAAAAAGTCTTGAAAAAATCCATTTCAAACTTTAATTATCTAATTATAAATTAATTATTAATCTAATTATTTAATTGAGTTGTTCTCAGTGTTATGATGTCCTTTTCAATATGTTCTCATGATGTTCTCATTTTTATGGATTGCCCTTTCATCACCCACTCTGATTAAATGCTCATACCACTACTATTCTTGTATTTTCAAAAATCTTGTAAATCAGCATTTTTCATATAGTATATTTAATTTAACATACTTCAGTGCGAATGAATTACAACTATTTATTTTCTTTAGATCTATATAGTATCCTTTTCTTTAACGACCTTTTCAGTGAGACATCACTCTGAGAGATAAGCTACAAAAAAGAGACAACCCCGTTGAAATCCCACTAAGCAAACAACGTCAACTTTTGATTAATTTCCACTTTCGTAGTGCTTTGAGCATGCTTAACTCTCTTTTACTTCCTCAGCTTATACGTTCACGCTATTATAGATAACCAATAATCATTTTCTATGTCCCTAGCATGTTTTTCTTAAAAATTAATTTGAATTTTTTCTATTCCTGCACAAATTACCAACCACTGCTTTGGTATGACTGCTTTTCTAGGAGAGTTTTTGAGATTGCACAAAACTCTCCGATATAAATTTTAATTACATAGGAAATCAAACCCCTATGATATTTATAAAGTGCGCTTTAACAATGTTTAATATTCTAGAGATTATGCACTCGTAAAAACTCCACTCTTCAGTGTTTGTCAATATCTGCTTTACCAAAGAACAAGGACTGGCTTTCCCGATTAGAGTCTCTAGATTTCATCTAATATCTACAAATCTTATACATATGGGCGGGACTCTCAATTTTATCTGAACAAAACTGGCAATACGGATTACTTGCCAGCCTTAACCGATGAACTTTTCATTACGTGTGAATATGACTTTATGGTTGTATCAACGACTTGGAAACTGATGCTAAAAGAACACTAACGATGTCCTTGGGGTCCATAGCAAAAATCAAGGTATTAAACGAGATAATGTATTGAAAACACGTGAGGCTTTATCTTTCGATTGCTTTAGGTGTGTTTTGAAACTCAGCCTACTATCTAGAGTGACATCAAGATATGTAAGTTGGGGACTAGATTGTATGTCTACATCTCCCATTTTAATTGAGAGAATTTCAATCTTTTTCCTACTGCCGATTAGCAGCACCACTGTTTTATGATCACCAAACTCCAGTTAACCCATAACCATTAGCATCACCAATCCGTACTATTTTTTTTTTGTCTTTAACAATAAAAATTTTTTGGAGCATTTTGGTACCGGTATGATAAATATTATAACGTATAATTTAAACTAAAACTAAAATTTATTATAAAATGAAAAGCTTTAGTAAGAATAATTATAGTCAACTCTACCTCGTTAGTCTGCGCTCAATTACTACTGACGTCAATTTGGAATGATGGAATGATGACGTAAAAATAATTAAAAAAATGCACTTCATTAATTTATTTTTCATCTATTGGATTCTGTCTAAATTTTTATTTGCGGTAAACTAAGTGCGGTTTCAGTGCCTTCCATATATGGAATTTATTTCAAAATTTGAAGCAAAGTTTAGTTTAGGCCAATAAAACATTTTTTGAAACCATATTTTTATAGTTTAATTAATCATTCACAAATGTCGAAGTCTGTTACGCACAAAAGAATTATAATTTTTTTTCTTCTGTTTTCGATGCGTAGGATTATTTGAAGACTATTTTCTTTGGAGTTTGAACCCACTTAATAAAAATATCTGAAAATAATGATTTCATAAAATCAAAAAAGAAAAATGCTTTTGCATTTACAGTTGTTTTATATTTTATTATTCTGTTTTTTTTTTTTTTGATATATAAAAATTTGTTTTTTACAGTAAAGTTATCAATTTTATAAAAACAGAACTCAGAGTATTATTAATTGAAAACATGTAATAAAGATGACACATATTTTAATACTCATAATAATATTTAAAGATTGATTCTAGTGAAATTAAGGTTTGAAAATTTTGAAAACAATTCAAATTCTAGTAAAGTATAAAAGTTTCTATAGAGCGGTCTCTATAGTTTATCCAATGAATATTAACTAATAGTAGAAAACGTACAAAATCTGTATATTTATCTAATAGAGAATAATACAAAAAACAGTATAAAAGTTAACTAATAGTATATATATTATCATTATAATATTTCTAATATTCTTATAGTCCTTTGTATATTACTCAAGCTGTTTGAAGACCCAAGCATTAAGATATTTGACTATGCTTATGCTCGATTACAGAGAACAAATAGTTATTATTATTTTTTTCATTTTTATTATTTATACTGATTGACCGAGATATATCCAAAACACTCCCTAAAAATGCCATCAAACACAATCAGGAATATTAATTGTTTTGTATATCGTTTCATTACTATAGACTATAAATAGATGTGATCGGAGTGTACCATTACGATGTGGATTTATAACAAGAGGCTAAAAAGTGGTCCGTCTCTTCAGCTTCGAAGCAATTTTGTCTCCAGATATTGGCTAAAAAAATATAGAGTCAACATTTATTTTGTAATGGAAAAAGAGTTCTGTTGATGATAATCTATAAACCGTGAAAATAATAAACTTCGAATATTACTGAACCCTTTTTGAACCGTTATAAAATAAATGTTATGAAACAAGTTCCAGGTTAAAGAAAAAGAAGAATTATTTTCTATCAATCTACCAATAACCAGCTTATTCGCCAGATATAGTTCGCTATAAATTTTGATTCTTCCAAACAAAAAGTTATAACTTGCTCTATCAAGATATTATAAACACCTATGCAAATACGTTCAATGTTTGTGCACAATTTTTACGAACCATAAAAAATAGATTACATATAATAATATTCAATGAAAATGATCACGATCATAAGTCAGTGACTCTCCTAAAATGACTTCAAATCGTGAACTTATGTCAAATAAAGTTATGTTAAGCGATTGTTAGGAAAATAATAAAATTGTTTATTAAAAGCTGTTCCAGTTTGCTGCACTGGTTAATTCATTCCTCTATTGCTCACAGAGAGATCCCTTGAATCAAACGATCAATAAAAAGAGACCAGAATTGGGCAACAGAAAAGCAGTGGTTTTTCATAATGAGAATGTCAGACCACACATATCTTTAAGGACTCGAAACAAAGAACCAAAAAAACATATACGGAGGCATCTACCGTCACCATCACATTAGCATTTGTTTTGGCTAAAAATCGATGTACCGACGGAATTATAAAGGTATTCAAAAAATGTAAAAAGGTCATAAAAATTGCAAAAAAAGAAAATATAGAATATATTTTTGCTTAAAAAGTTACCTCTTCATTTCACTTCTGGGTATGCTCATACTACAACTCACGATAAGGCTCAGTTTCTTCCACTATCCATTTTTAAGAGTTTGTCAATGACTGTTTAATATTTTTGAAATATTAGATTTGCAAATCTCTTTCATCGTCGGCAAATCAGTAATTTCGTGATCAACTATATATTTTTGTACCTCTAATACATTCATGCGCTCCATTATCAGGAGTTCTGCACAATTTATGAAGACGTTTCAGACAATGCTATAGCTCTTTTTAATTATTCTTCAATAAGAAACTGTGATATATAAATACTGAATCTTACCACCTCAGCAGAAATTCCAAATATAGAACCTCTGATTTAATTCGCAGAAGCAAATCAGAGTTATCTAGTTTCACATTTGTCTTAACAGGACACTGGTGCATAGGACGGCATGGAGGTAGACTCGGCCTACCCTGTGGTACGTCTTGCAGTGCATGTCTACCAGCTTTCGAATAAATGACACCAGAACACTTGATGTGTATTTTTTCAGGTCTGACCAGAATTAGGTTTAAGTTTCTAGGGGCCCAATTCTTCAATTCACTCGGCGATGTCTCCAGCATCAGCATTAGCCAGATTCTTGCCTTTGTAAATGCCTCTGGCTGGTTCTAGTCTGACCTTCTCCCTACTACCCTCTGTTACGAGGTTTTTTTGGATTCAAAACGGCTTTTTGCTAATTGAGAAGGACTCGTCCTCCCTTTACCACAACTAACTAACTAACATACTACATATTTTATGTATTAAATATAAAATCAACTTATCACAGATTTTTATATGTAAATATATAAATATTTATATTCATATATTTATATATATTTATATATTATATATAAATATAAAATCAACTTATCATAGATTTTTATATTAAATACAAAAGTAAAATAATTTAATTAATACTGTGTTAGTCAAATTATATAAAATATTTTAATAGAATAGATTAGTTTTGAAAAATAGAGCTCACAAAAATTCAAGTTTTGTCAAAAGTCTAAAAAAAATTTATAAAAATTCGAAAACAATAAAAACAAACAATTCGTGTTTCTAAAACGACCGATTGGAACCATCTTAAAAAAAGTATTGTGATATTTCGAAGTTCCTTTAAGGTAAGTTAAAAGTCTATTTATAGTTAAAGTAGATATTATAAATATACATATTATAGTTATAGGACCGTGGTTGTCGCAATACTGTTTCAACAGTGATTCAAAAATACAATAAACAATTAGCGTTTCTAAAACAACCAATAGGAACCCTCTTAAAACTCAGAATTTAAATCCCGCTTTAAGGTAAGTTAAAAATCGTATTACTCGTAACATAGAAATTAAAGATATACATATTATAGTTACAGGACCGTGGTTTTCTCAGTAATTCAAAAACATAATAAACAATTGGTGTTTCTAAAACGACCAGTACGGACCATCTGAAAAATTAAGCCAAGTATTGTGATATTTCGATTTGGCTTCAAGGTAAATTAAAAATCTATTTATAGTTAAAGTAGATATTATAGATATAGTTATTCTAATTATAGAACCGTTGTTATCACAATACAGTTGCGGCAGTATTTCGAAAATATAATAAACAACTGGTGTTTTTATAACGACCAATCGGAACCGTCTTAAACGTTAAGCCAAATATTGTGATATTTTGATGTCACTTAAGGTAAGTAAAAATCCTATTTACAGTTAAAGTGATATTATAAAAATACGTATTATAGTTATAGGACAGTTGTTGTCACATTACAGTTGCTCAAGAACAAATACATATATTGGAGAGTTTTTTGGAGGTAATGTTAAGATTGAGTTATTTCCCATTCATTTACAGATTATGTATTCTTAAAGTACTATAGTTATGTAGAATCGATGTGTATTTTTATGCAACAGTCAAACCTTAGCACAGCAAAAAGAAAGCATTTAAAGTGGGTTTGACCTTCCTCTTTCTCTGGGTTCAGTCTATGACTCGAGCAATTTGACTGATAATTAATTTGAAAAATGTACATTTATTTTTTTCTTTTCGTAACAATTCACAATTATTAGTAATATTGATTAATTTGTTTTAAGTGTAAATAAATTTGTTTATAATTTTTATTAATATTATAAACTTTTCTTTTTACTTAGGTCATCATAGTGGATTTATTAGAAATTACGATTTGGATCAGTATATACCTATAATATAGGCAATTATATTGGACTCATTTGAGATAAAGTTTTGTATCAGTACATATCCCAACTGTTTTAGTTAAACTGAGAAAATTGCAACTCGTGCGAGAATGACCACCTTATTGACGACCAGCACTGCAATAAAAAAGATCGATAAAATAATAGCTGATAGACCACAAGCTCAAGGTATAAAGCCAATAAAAGTAGCCAAATTAAGCAAATCTTGCACTGTTACTCAGACCAGAGCATCAAAAACTTCGAAAACTTCAAGAACCTCACGTAATTCTTCATACGACGAAGTTGGTACATCTCAAAGGGCTAATCAAAAAAGCTCCTCAGGAAGAAGTTTTCAACGCATTAATTACATACAAAGAAATATTGATGCAATCAAAGAGAGAAAATCCAGTAAAAGTACTGATGGAGCTAGAAGAAGTTTAGGTGGAAGTGATTTGAAGCAAAAAAGGATTAGCGCTTCATCTTTGAAAACCAAAAAAAAACCAATTAAAGAATTTCCACGCAGGCCGATATATAAGCGCAATATGTTTGGTAAGAGAATAGATCGTGATGAAGAAAATAGTTATCCGGAAGAGTATTACAGTAAAGACGTTGAAATCATTTATACCAATCTGCGTTTTCAGCCCAATGTACCCCAAAGTCTTTGCAGTGCCGGAACTATTATCAAGCACAGAGATAATTCTGATCCTTGCTTAGTGTATTCACGTCAAAAATTGAAATTAAATCCAACACTGACACCACATAAAAGCATGATGAATTTTGTAAACAGCACTCAGCAGGAGAAGAATACTAAAGTTTCAAATGGTGTTACGGAAAATAACGATAGTGCTTTGAGTGGTATTGATCTATGTTCTAAGTCCCTACATAGTATATTTCATTACAGTAGGAGTGGGAAACAAATAGAAAATACCTCAAGCTGTGAAAAGTTCGATAGGTCGAAAGTAACTCCAAAGACCATTGATAACAAGGGATATGTGACAGGCACTCATTTTACTAAACTCACCACAACATGTACTGCACGCACTACGCAAAGCAATCCATTTATTGCTTTGGTTGAACCTGTGCTTCCTTCTAAAATCTCCAATATAGCCCAAACACAAGGTCTATTAGAGAAGCAGATAAAAACTACTGAGAAAAAGAAGGTGGAAAAATTGCAATGTCAACTCTGCAGAAAATCAATGAAAGTGAAAAGTTTAGAAGAAGTTCGAAACTTATGCAATAAGTGCATTCACAAGATCAGATCAGGCAAAAATGTTGGTTAGTCCGTTATACCATATAATATTAAAATCATGGATGTGCACTATATTGTTTATGACTGCATTCTTATTTTAGTCATGTTGAAAAATTTAATATTTATTTCCTATAATTTGAAGCAAAATTTAAAATTCTCAGAATAATTGTTAGAGCATCGCAATTGACACTTGGTCCACTTCTTATATAGTTTAAAATTTACGCGAACGTATAGAAAAGCAAAAGAACCACTACAATTTTATTTGAAATATAAATTTTGAATTTGAAAATATAAAATTAAATTTTTAGAAAACAAAATTATTGTGTTTCATTTACATTTCACGTCAAGACATGAAAATCCTATAATATAATAATATTTGTATTCTCAAGTTGGAATAGTATATATTTTAACATATTTAGAAATAATCACTTCACTTTCCCCCTACACATTAGAATACTAGGGCTGCCTTTTCAGCCAGTTAATTAGTTAATTCTATTAACTTAAGTTCTGCGAAGTATTTTCCAAAGATGATCAATACATTTTTGTATTCGATTGAACCAATTTTCGAAACAGTTTTGCCACTCCGAAATTGATATCTCTAAAATCTAGGTTTTAAATGTCACAAAGGCCTTTTGAGGCGTAGAAAAACGCTCGTCACTCACTTTTTGCTTAATGTTTGGAAACGAAAAGAAGTTAGGACTATAAGGCTAATGACCCATCAATTCGACGTTTTGAGTACACAAAAACTCTTTGGTTTTACCTGATATGTGGGAGCTCGCGTTCTCTAGGTAGTTCCATGGTTAATTTTCCTCGATTCTCTAAAGACTTCCGACAAACAAATAGTTGTGTACCACTTAAAATTGACCTTTCGATGTTATTCACATAGTACAATTGCGAGATGACTGGCTTTTCTGAGTTTCCTTGGATTTGCTTGGTGACAACTTTTGTCGAGTTCTGTCAAACTGTAGAATGCTGTTTTGTTTCGCATTCATGGGCTTAGAACCCTGATTCTCCACCTGTTATGATGTCATTCCTTGATCGTGTTTTTTCAGCATTTCCTTTCATCAATCAAAACGTGTCTTCTTTTGAGCAATTATCAAATTTTCGATTTTTTCTGATACAACAGCTATTCTTAGATGACGACGACCACTTTTAAACTCATTAAACCAGCGTTTTGCTAACACTGGATGTAGTGTTTCATCAACAAATGTCGAATTGCATTGATTGGTGCATTATTTTTTGCCTAATACGAATCGAAAACCGTTTTAAGAAATACTTTTCATGAAAGACGAGTTCTTTCTTTCTCGAAATACTTTCTTTTTTTCCTAACAAAAATTTTTAAATTCACTATAATCTTATTTTATATTGTGTCCGTTATAAACTACAACTTAATCGAATGTACTTCTTATTAACTTTTTTAATATCTAATATATAATTCTAATACTAATAAGACGTGCTATTGAAAGCGTCAGACGTCAAACTGTGTGCTGGTGACTATACCTTCGCAGAAATCAGGAATGTTAGGAAATTAGATTAAGAATTATCGTTGCCAATTCATGCTACTATAAGCCTAATAAACAAATGGTATATAGCGCTCACTCTCTCTCTATATCTGTTTCTTCTCTCTTTCTCTCTTGAGAGAAAACCTGAATTTTTGTATGGGTCAAAAACATATATGCCGTCATAGAACAATAAAGCAACACTAAGAGTCTACAAAACATAAGTTCCTTGTAGGATGTTTATACCTCTTTGAGTTGACAAACTACTTACTCATCCGATCAAATTATTGTTGTTCAGTGAAAGATGTAATACGCAACAGCTTCAAAAAATAGAAGACGATGTTTTAGCGAAAGAGTGATAGGAGAGGACTATGTCTCCAGTAAAGTGACTTAGTTGAAGGATCACGAACCACACTTGATATACGAGACTGGAGAAGGTACGAGTATGTATAAAGTAGAGTGCTGCTTTAGATCAAAACCTTAAAACGGCTTGCTTAGCGGCCAATTAAATAAATAATTTATAAAAACTTTCTTATTTACTTATATAGTATACATAAATGTCTAATAATTTATGTGTATAAAATTATATATTGTTAAATAATATCATTATTCTATTTAATGTTGCCTTTTATGGTTGACAAACAATTTAATTTTTATTTCCTAAATTATAGATGATTTCCGCACTTCTTTCAATTACAAACTTAAATTTAATTAAATTTTGTTAATGGTGGGCGTTATTAGAAAAAATTTTTACTTAATTTGGCTGCTAAGTTTCAGTCATTAATTTAAATAAAATATATTAAAAAATTATACAAAAAATTATTTTGAAATATTTTTAACGGTGAATGATTATTTAATCAAGACTTTCTTTGATGACTAAACGTATTGGGTTGTATAAAAAGTATTACGCGTTTTTGGCTAAAATTGAAAATATTTTACTTTCGAGTTTTCAACAAATAATAATGATAATGCAATGTCAGTACTATGTAATGGAAACATTTAAAATCAGTCCTAGTCATTCAATGTCTATAAAGTCACCAAAACTATATGTGAACTAACGTTTATTCTTCTTAAAGAGTTTTGGAAAAGAACTAAATTCCTTAAGAAAAAAATTAAGACCCAATGCTCCACAAGGAAATAATGTTCTGATATACAGATTACAACATAATGTCTTATACCAACGGCGGGTTGTGTATATTATTTCTGGCTATATATTTATTATTTTGTTCAGTAAAACAGTATTACTATGTTTATGTCTATATTTTGTTATTGAGTTGCGTAGAAAAATGAAGACTTATCACATGTTGATCATCCTGACATTTTTTTATAATTGAATTGATTTTTGGATCATATATCGACTGTAGCTAAAACCATACTTACCAACTTCCTGATTGAAAGCGATGAACAATTTTTTAGTAATTGATTATATTGAAGTACTAACACTATTAGCAACAAATATACATCAAAACATTTTTTTTTGCTATTCACTTAACTTTGCTTTGCAATAATTTTTAGGCCTAATAACAATTTCAATGAAGTATTCACTAATAATCAATTTATTTGTAAGGTGCATTTAATCCTTTCAAATCTATAATATTTTAAACGCAATTACACAAAATAACACCGAGTATATTTTGTCTGACTTATTAGTTAAGTAGTTTACAGTGTGTTTACATTATCAGTTATAAGTATCATACAAAATCCACAAAAAATGTGTTTATGAGGTTCGATACCTGTAAATCTAAATTAACACCTTAATTTATTTATTCTGGTTCTTCTTTATTAGACCCGTTTTATTATCCCTGTACCGTGGAGCGACCCCTGCAAAATTCTGCCATTGTTAATGGTTCAGCATCATTCCCTTTATTTTATCAATTTATTTTATCATTTTAACGTTTTATTGTCCCTAATACTCTATCCTGAAATGAATAAATAATTCTTCTTTTCTCTTACCTACAGGTATTTTCGAAAGCAACATTCTCGATACACTGCCGGATGGATCTCTTACGCTTGTGACAAAAACTTTTTTGTTGTATGTCAACATGTCGCGGTTAATTTCTCATATTAATGCTATTACTTCTAGTTCTCCCCACAATTCTTCTTAGACATATCATTTCAGCAGCTGATACTTTATATAATATATGTCGTTTGCTGGCTAACTTTCTATTATATTATTTCATTTAGTTAGTGAGATGGCCAGGTTTTTGCCGAAGAGGGCATATTCTCAAAAATAGAGCATTGTTTTCACAATTTATTGCTTGTATGTTAGATTACATTAACAAGGGTGGATTAATCTTAGTGCCCCATTTCTGTTGGATACAGCCTGAGTATAGTATATTGTGTGTATTATTATATTATATAGTATATTAAATGTTAGTTGTATATATCTCAAAAATTTTCTACAAGCTTAGTTCTATTAATATATAAAATATGCTGAATAATTATTTTTTTGATGAAGTTATAACATAAGATTATATAACATTTATGGCTCTAATACGGGACATAAGACATTTATATCAGCTGTCATGATCGTTGTGATTTATTCAACTCCGTTTTGGACTATCGTCATCTGAAAGACCTCTATAGATTCCATTGTGATGGCATTTTTTTAGAAGCTGTGCCCAATCCACAGCACTTTCTGTTGTACGTAATTTTAAATTGTTTTATTTTATAAGGAACGATTTTTTAAATGTCTCAATATATACCTTCTTCTTTATTAGGTTAGGTTAGGCTAGGCTAGGTTGGAGTAACGGCCTTGTACCCTTCTCCACTACTTTAATTTAATTTTATATGAAAACTAACAAATATGAAGCTAATCAAATATTTGCATTTATAATTAAAACTTAAAATTTTGACAGTATTTAAGATTTGCCTTTTACATTGCAAAATTATATAAGAATAATTAATACCGATATATATTTTCAATAACCAATCTGTAATAACTGTATAATTATCGAAAAAACTTATTTAAATAAAATTTAATTTTTGTAGTTAAATCTCCACTATGATACTCTCTTCTCAAAAAATTTTACATAGATCTGAAAATAATTAATTAGACTAATTAAATCTATTCTTAATAGCATTGAATGCTTTTGATTCTTACAACTATCGGTCACTTTTCAGAAAAACTTGATTATAATTACTTAATTTTGAACTTGTTTCTCGATCTGGCCATATTAACAATGTTTTTTAATATATTTTATTTTCAATTACAGGTCACAATTTTTAAATTAATTTAAGAAAGTTTATTTATAATTATTATAATTTTTTAATAATAATTTTATTTATGATGTTTTTGATTTTATGTCGCTCCTCTAAGCTGGCTGTGATATGATTTTTATAATAAACATTTCACAGCCACCTTGAAGGGAGACACAATATCATTCGGAATTTAACAAATACTACTCACTTAATTCTTTAATAAATCACACTTAATGTAATAATATAATTAAAAATACTTAATAAATTTGAATTCTTAATAATGTAGAATTTTCATTATAAATTAATTATAATAAGTACTTATCTTATCCACGAAAAACTGACTTACATCACTTATTTATAACTCGAAAAATGTTTTCCAAATAAGATATATATTTGAACTGAAGAACCTATCATCATATATTAATATCCTAATACTCACTATTTGTTAGTTTTATTAGTTATGTCTAACTTGTAAATCTTAACATCACTGTCAATAGAGCTTACAATAGCACCATAAACAACGACAACGAAGCCCTGCTCATTACTTCTAACAGAGATTAAA